GCAAAGAAGGAAAGAGGAAAGGAGGGAAGGAGGAAGGAAGGAAGGAAGGAAGGAGGGAAGGAGAGGGAAAACTAATCTGGCAATCAAGATCAAAATGTGATTTTTGGAAAACTATCCTTCGCAACAAAAGATCCAGTCGTAAGGATATTGGTCCAAGGACTTTTACTGAATCATCACAGTGGCAAAAACCAGAAAGCTCCCGGGTTTTCAATCAGTAGAATGATGGTTGAATACACTGTGGCAGAGTCCAACTGTGAATTGTGTAGCTACAAAAAACAGGAGTTACGTGCATGTGTATGGACCGTTACATGGAAATAGGAAGTTGCAGAGTAACGTGTGTAACGTGATAGCATCTTGGGTGTATCTGAGTTTGTACCAGCACTGAGACAGGGTCTTTTCCAGAAGGGCAGTTCCAAGGGTTACACGTGGAAGTTCTAAGGATAGCACTGCCCCCTACGGGACATCATGGAGTTTGTTCTATTCGAAATATATTTCATTGTATTTTCCTGAACACTAATGAAACAGCTTTTATCTAGGTCCGCAGTTACCAAACGCTTGCCAAACTCAACAGTCAATTCTTTTTTTTCATCTTCCTCAAAGTTTCAGCGACATGTGACAACATGACCATTCTCCCCGTCTTGAAAATACCTACTTCTGGAGGATTCCAGGAGAGGACACCTACCTCTTTCTGCTCCCTTGAAGCCTGCCCGCTCTCTTGCAGGCTCCTCCTCCTGCTAATCTTTGAGGTGGACAGCTCCTGGTCCCCTCCCTAGAGCTCTTCTTTTGCTATACCTTCATCCTCACCCTTGGTGGCCTCCTCTGAACTCAAGGCTTCGAACAACCTCCACATGCTAATGACTCTCAAAACTCCACCCATTTTTCTCCCAAGCTCCAGACTCCCATTTCTTTTTTGACGGCTGGCCGGTATGGGGATCTGAACCCTTGACCTTGATGTTATCAGCACTGCACCCTGACCAACTGAGCTGCCCCGCCAGCCCCAGATTCCCATTTCCAATGGCCTGTTCCACACCTCCCTTGTTTGTCTCACACTTATTGAGGCCAAACACAAAACATGACCCTTGACTTCTCCAATCATCCCCAGTAAGCCTTCCTCCTCTGAGTAAGAGACAGCACCCAGGAGCTCAGTACAGGAGTCATCCTTCATTCTCTTCCCTCCTTCACTCCACCGTAAGTTCCACAGGAGCTACCTCTGCTTAAGTCTCACTGAGTATCAGCCCCCCAACCTCTCGGCCTAATTTCACAACCCCCTCCACTATCATGTGCTCAGAGATCCACATACCCTTCTCTACTGCACCAAAGAGTATCATAATTGATCCTTAATGTTCACGTCCAGATTCATCATTAAACAGTGGAAATTGTGGGCCTTTCCCAGATGCCCCCTGCCCCAGCTCCAAAACCAGCTTAGCTTCATACCTAGACTTCGAGGTCTGTAAACTTCTGTCCACGTCCATTAACACTACCCTAGCCCAGGCCACCACCACATCTCATCTAACTACTGCAATGGCTTTCAAACCGGTCCCTCACCATCCCTCTACCATCTATTCTCCACCCAGCAGCAACAGTGGGCTTTTTAAAACACAAATCAAACACTTCTCTGCTCAAAACCCAATAACAGTCCTTAATATGGCCCACACGACCCCACACGATCTGTCTCCTGTCTTCCTCTCCTACCGGGTCTTGATGCTCAAAGTGTGGTCCGTGGACCAGCAGCATGGACGTCACCTGGAAGCTAGTCACAAATGCAGACTCTCGGGGCCTACCCCGGACCAGCTGAATAAGAACTTAATTTTTAAAAAATATCCGTAGGTGCTCGTTAAAACAGTTTGAGCAGAGCGTCTCACAAGCTTACCAGCTTTCCCCTCTCCCTGATTCAGCTATAAAAGTACATGCTGTTCCTCAGCGCTGGGATATTTGGACAGAGCTTCGAAGGTAGGCTATGACTGTATGGCGCTAGAATTAGGAAAGACAAGTGGGACATCCTAGGAAGACAGCGTGACCGACGGCGAGGCCTCCGCCCTAGTACTGCTATGGCCCAGCCCGACGCTCCTGAAGCGCGGAAATAGCCACTCCCGGGAACTGACCAGAAAGCAACGGCCACGCGCGTTGCAACGATTAAATGCGTGGGGCCCTAGCGCAGGCGCACTGAGACCCCGCCCCCCAGCTCTGAATTTGAATGCGCGTGCGCACAGAGAAACTGCCGAAGGAGGCGGGGCCTGCTCTGCCCGCGCCTGGGCTGGGCGGGACCCGAAAGGAGAAGAGGGATTTCCGTTTCCGATGGGAGCCGGAAGTCACTGTCTCCCGGGTGAACAGGCCCTTTGCAGCCAGGGAAGGCGAGTGCAGGTGACGCTTTGCGATGGCGGGCATTGGGGCCGGGCGGGATGGGGCACTCTTGTACTCAAGGCGTTTACCGGGTCGTTGGAGGAGGTGCCGGGGGCCCTGGGCTTGGGGGGCGGCCAGTCGGAGAAATTGACGACCCCCGATCCCAGCCTGCTAAGCGCTGGTGCTCGGTGCCTGGCCTCTGCGGGCGGCCGTTGGGAGGCGATGCCGAAGCCTCTGTGAGCCGAGAGGAACCGCCAACCCTCCGCCTCCTGTGTCCCTGCAGGTTCGCGGGACGACCCCTCTTCCAGCTCCCCTTGAAGCCCGGGGACTTACGTCGCCGTAGGACATTTCGAGGCCTTTGCAAGCCAGAACTTGTTCCTGCGGTGGAAGGGGGCGCGGGGTTGGGCGGGGAGGCCTTGGTCACCGGGTAGAATGAGATTCTGGGGCCCGTCCTTAGATTCTGATTCGGGAGACTTAATTATGCATCTAACAATAGTTATTAAGCGCTTAACGTATACAAGGCAATATGCGTCCTAGGGATTTAGCATTGAACAAAACACGTCCGCGGAGAACTGACGTTCTACTGGGGGAAGATCTGGGGTTAGGTTGAGAAATCGGCATGGTTTGAGCACCTCAGGTGATTCTTTTGCAGATGGTCGCCAGGTCTGGGCTTAGACTACAAAGCAGAACAAAACACTGCCCTAGTAGGTGAGAGCATAGGCTACAGAACAGGCTACACCTTACTTACTTAAACCTTCGGGGTCTTGTGGAATCTGGCCGATGCTTTCCTCTTCTCTTGCATCTCATACCCTTCTCCCCTTTGCTCACTGAGCTGCAGCCATACAGGTCATCTCTTTCTCGAAAGAAAGCATATTCTGCCCCAGGGCCTTTGTAATTGACATTCCCTCTGCCTGGACTACCTTGAATGGCTTTCTTCTCTCATTCAGGCCTCAGTTTAAAAGACTCTTACTCAGAGGGTCCTTCCCAATCCTCTCTTAATCTGAAGTAGCCCTTCTCCAGAAACTTTCACTTAACCCTGTTTTATTAACCTCATAGCACTTATCAGTATTTGAAATTATTTTGCTTATGAGTTTACTTGTTAGGGGTCTGTCTTCCTCCACTAGAATTTAAGTTCCACAGGAACAGATACCTTACCTGCCTTGTTGACTGCAGGATTAGTATCACTTAACAAAGTTCTTGGAATTTGTTCACTGATTCTTTCATTCCATAAATATTTGTTGAGTGTCAGCTCTGTGCCACGTTCTAGCCATGTTCTAGGCTCTGGGGATACAAAAAAGAGACCTATATCTGTGCCCTAGTGGAATTTACATTTGCAGGGTGGTGGGCTGAGTTGGAGATGCAGGGAGACCAGTGAGGAGAGCAATGGGTGTGACGCAGACCGTGGCACTGGCCCCAGAGGTGGCGAGACATGGTCATATTCTGGATGTTTATAGAGAGGAGGAGGAGCAGAGGCAGGATTGGGTAAGGGGTTTGAGAAAGAGAGAAAGGAATGAAGGATGAACCCAAGGTTTTTGGCCTGAGCACCTGGAAAGAAGGAATTGCAATAAGCTGAGATGGGGAAGACTGCGGGAGAGCAGGTTGAAGTGTTGAGCTCAGTTTTTGTTTTTTGCTTTTTTTTTTTTTTTTTTTTTTTTTTTT